GCCTCGTTTGTCACGCAATTAGTTTTTCTGCAATATTCTGCTATGCACTGGTTAATTGGGCATAATAAAATCGTGAGTCATGAAGTAACGTTATGTAAACATATTTGGTCCAATTTGGAGCTCTGTTTTAAGCGTAATGCTTTTGTAATACAGTTAGCTATTGGTTGTTAATTGGACCATTGACCAGTCAGAATTTGGAACAGAAATTTGCCTTTGTTAAAGCAGTGTTTAGTGGGATTAGGTATAATCAAACGAAACACTGCGAGGTGTATGGTCCTATACAGTTGTGGGATCAGCAGTGGGATCAACACAATAGTACAGTACAGCACATTATTTTATACCTTTCATACAATGGTCGATAAGATCTGCCCATCAGATATTATACTATACATGTTGATATCTAGAGCTTATACTTTATGTATTTTTTCTGCGGTTTAAAGAAGACAAATATTAAACCAGCTTGAATGTGGCAATCAAGGAAAACTTACATCCGCATCAGGTCTTTGTAATATTTCATCAACTTTAGATGCATCACCATTAGCTGCTGCCTTCACTAACTCCTCATTTACATCACCAGATACATGTGTTTCAAACAATTTCTTTAATAACGCACTCAATCGTTCTTAAAAAAAAGAAATCAAATACAATAGAATAACATCAAATATAATTTTGCATGGTCACATCTGTGTGATCTATGGCATGTAAAAAATGAAACAAGCCAACAGTGAGGCTGATGTCCCCTGCCGAAATCCCAAAATAAATAGAGGACATATTAATTTATCGCACATTTAGTTTTTTTCAAAAGTATCAAGCAATCAAACTGATTATCAACTATACACTAAGTTGCATCTTTCTCTATCAGATAGAATCAAAGTTATCTTGTCCTAAAGCATCAACCAATGAAATTGATTTACTCTGATTAGCTTTAGCTCGAAATGTTAATTATTGAACTCAGTCAAGACATTCACCTAATGTAAACATTCTACCTCAATTAAAAGCAGAGTTGTTATGTTCCACCAATGTCTTAACCAATCAAATTGCTTATAGCTCTTAGCCTAAGCAGAAATTCTCATCATCGTACTTAGAAGGTAATGATAAATGAATCTATAGTTGGAGTTTCATCACTCTCACTTAATTATACCTAAAAGTTATCGTGTCCCAAAGCATCAACCAATCAGATTGCTTATCTCTGCTTACCCTCAGCAGACAATGTTTATTATCCAACTAGATCAAGGCATTCACCTAGTTTGAACATTCTACCTTAATTTGAAGGAGAGTTATTGTCTTCCAAAGTCTCAGCCAGTCAAATTGCCTATTGCTCTGCTTACCCTGAGCAGAAAATGCTCATTATCGAACTCTACACCAAGTTTCATCACTCTCACTTAATTAGAACTAAAGTTATTGTGTCCCGAAGTATCAACCAATCAAATTGCTTATCTCTGCTTACCTAAGCAGAAAATGCTCATCTTCAAACTCCATCAAGGTACTGACCTAATAAACACCTACACCAAGTTTGGACATTCTAGCTCAATTCGAAGGAGAGTTATTGTGTCCCAAAAAGTGTGAAGGACAGACAGACAGACAGACGGATGGACAGACAGGCAGACAGACAGGGGGACAATACAAACAAAATAACGTTGCTTTGCACGATACAAAGAAACCAAAACAAACGAAAAGCAAAGAAAGCATAGGCCCATAGCACCTAAATCTGGGCATATAAAAACATATTGTGGACAAATATACATAAACCATGAGCTATTTGAATGGGGAGTACACTACACCCAGTACTTCAACAAAATGAACAGATTTATCCACAGTTCAGACCAGTGATCTTAATTGGCTGTTTTTTGTCAGCTTTAGCCGCTTTAAGTTCAATCAAGCTGATTGGTAAAACAATGAACCGGCCACTATGGTATCATAAATCAATCTAATTTCGGCTAAATTACAACGGGTTAATTACTTCTTAATAAAGAAGTCGATCAACAGTCATACCTAACAGGCCACGAAATTTCACGCTAACGATACCAATCGGTTACGTGCAGTCACGCCAGCTGAAAAACACAGGACAGATTTCCTGGTTACACAAATTGAAATATCGGTTACGTTAACAAATTTCATTAACAAATTATTCACATTTGATCAATTATTATACAGGATGACTTTGTGACACAGGTCTAAATTAATACTAGTATTATAGCACAAACTCCATTCATTCATTCTTGGCATTTCATTTCTCCATCTTACCAGTACTTTGACAGATCACATATTTTAACATTACGTATTGACCAGTTGCAAGCAGGTTGATTTAAAAATGCCCCCCTACCCCTAACTCTTTAAATGATTGATTATGCCATAAATATTTGAAAGCATACCTTTGGATTTTCAAATACAAAATGAGTTTGACTATTTAACATGTCAGCTATATTTCCAAAGAATTTACTACAGGTGTTCCTTTCACTATAGCCATATGCTGTACGGTAGTACCAATGACCCATATGTATGTCGTCATAAACCTATATTTCAAGTTTCGTCAAAATCGGATAAGAATTGTGACCTGTAGAGTGTCCACAAACAAATTGTGGACGGACGGACAGGGGCGACGACAATATACGTCCACATGAAAATGTGGGCGTATAAAAATACATTTACTGCAAGTGGATAATAATAGCACCATTTAAATCTGGATAAAACTTGAAAATTGCGCAACCATTTTATACAAACAGTTGGTTATGCAATGGTCATCTGGCGTAACCAAAGAAAATGGTTACGCAAAGCATAAACCCGCAACCATGTTTCTGGTTATGCCAAATTTGAAATTTCGTGGCCTGCATACCTTAGTGAGAATCGGTCAATTAATAATCACGTTAAATGGTAATTTTGATAATCCGGTAAAAAAAACGAAACAAGCTTTGTGATTATTCATAACAGGTTCAATAAGCTGCTTTAGTGAAAATAACCCACGTGGTGAAAGAAAACAATATCGGCATGGTTTACGCTCAGTATGAATTCCAGGTACCGGTAGATTAAAAAATAATAACTGAATCATACATTGATGGATTCACTAAGCAGTTGTTAGGTAAATTTAAATCTTCATTGAATATAATCCCCTGATAGAACACAAAATACACCGAGAAACAGTCATTAATAATATATTTTCCTGATAGAATCTCCAATGACGAATTCCAATGACACGTGACATCTCGGTTGGAATTAGCTCAATAAGGCCTAATTTTAAAATTAATGTTGTTTTTATTGAAGGCTATTAGAATTGTTATTCTAAGGCAGGTATAACCGTGCAGGTTATAGTAGTTATATGTTATATTTAAATCTTGAATATTAAAGATAATGCATTATTAATTTTAAAAGTGAAAGCCTTCAAATTGAATTTATTTAAACTCTCGGGACAATAACTATTCTATTCCTTTAAAAATTCAATTGTATGTGTGCTATTAAAAGGTGACTAGCCAAGCGTGAAATTTTACGTAATCCTAATGACATGTTAATTTATTATAATCCCTTGTTGTTTATAAAACTGTTATAGATAGAAAGTAACTGACAATATGGCCTGTCTGGTGAAAATGCCAATCGTATGATTAATCTATTTATTGTTTTATTTACCATTGTTTTATTTCTTATATTGTACATTATTACATCAATGCTTATTTATGTTAACACTTTATCTAGCCAAGTGATTAGAAGTAATTCCATATAAATATGTGATTGTACTTGATACGTGAGTATTTTAGGTCTATCCGACTTTGTAGCATAAGGTACTAGTCGAGTAATCCGCGGTCCCCTAAGTGTATGTAGATAATTGTTATTATAAGTTTCCAGTATTAAAGATTTGAAGAACCATTCCAGACTCTTGTAATATCTGACGGACCTCATGTTCACACCCTAAGAATTTCACATTGATAACAGAAACTTGTCATTTAGTGTATATTAATATATGATGTCCCAAATCAGATTTGATAATTTGGACGTAAAATGTTAAACATACATTATGCAAGAGCTAAATCTGCCAATTGCAGGTCTTTCTTTAGGCCTGAAATGTTATCTAAACAAGCCAACAGTGAAGCTGATGTCCCGAAATGAAATGAAATGAAATGAAATGGGGTTTAACGTCCTACTGTTTTGCTCCGAACTGGGCTAATGAAGACGGGCATACGCCATACAGTGTGCTATGAGGGAAATTTGCCCGGACAGCGGCACTACGGCCTACTCTTATATCGAATTCCAACTGTCAAGGGATCTTTTACGTGCACGCCAATGTGTACACGGGACCTCGGTTTTTCGTCTCATCCGAATGACTAGACAGCTGTCCTTGCCAGGCCCTCCGTCCTGCATCACTGACAAGGGGGAACCACGCCGGAAAATCTGGATGAACTTTCTCGGCCAATGCAGGAGCTGATGTCCCACACTGAAATCCAAAAAGATAGATTGCCAGGCAACAAAACATACGCCCACAGCAGCTAAAAAGTCCGGGCAGTCAACAAGTGTTGTCACACATTTTTACTTTTTTCGGTAATGAAACATTTATAATACACTTGGCTTGTTTAGATAACATTTCAGGCCTAATCGTATATTAACTTTGGCCTCTAGAGCAGCCACAAGATTTTTTGAAGTGATCAAGGGCCATAACTCTGGCAGTAATTATCGGAAATCGCTGAAAATCAATAGGCGTCTTCGTCTCATGGCTTAGGGTGTAGAAGTATGGGTATGTAAAATCTTGTAAGTCAACAAAAATTGAACACAATGTGAAAGATGTTTACAAATATGTCTAAAGAAGAAGGAAAATAACTTACCTCCAGAAGAGCTTCCATTTGTAGCTCCATCAGCAGATGCAACCTTTGTAACAGCAGATGGATTATATGTCCATGATGTACCACATACTTCTACTTTCAGATCATTATCATGATAGATCTGTTGTACTCTTCCTATTTTACCTAATGTCTATATCAACACAAACAATATTATAATTTACTATAATTAGTATAATATTAAATACCACTTACTATTTTACCTAATGTCTAATAAATGTTAACACAAACAACATAAGAATTTGCTAGAATTAGTAAAATACTAAACACCACCATTTTACCTAATGTCTAACAAACATAACACAATTAACACAATAGTAGTAATACAACTGTGTCATAGCTTTTGTAAGTTGAAATTTGTGCATTTGCAAGAAACATTCAACTCTGACAATCTAAATATCTAATATTTTCTCTTTAGTTTGGTCAGAAAAATGACATCATTAAACAATTTCTACATCTTGTCCAAATAGAAAAGGTTCCATAATAATCACATATTAACCAAAAGGACCAACTCTATTTTCTATGGATAAGAGACGTAGAGGCACTTACTGCATTTGAATTAAAACTATGAAAGCCACTTGCCGAAATATAACATAACAAAACACAGTTCTATGGATAAAAATCACTATATTATATAACATAGGACGTTTCGACAAGATTTCACTAGTCGTTATCAAGCATACATATTGATAACTACCAGTGAAATATTGTTGAAACGTTGTATGTTATATAATATAGTGATTTTTATTCAAAAAACTGTGTTGTGTTATATTATGTTCAATTGCTAATGAATGCCATTCAAAGATTATACATTTGCCAATATTTTAAACCTTTTTTTGTGCAAACCATAGTGCAGCATTTAACATGTATGCAAATTCACTGTACTGGGGCCATGCTATGGAGGAATAAAACTCTCAACTCAATAAATACTTAAGACTGGAGTATATTTGGGTTTGTTTTTTTTCCAACTGAGGTTAATCTGAATTATGCACACCAAAAGTAGACAAAGAAGCTTGGATAATAATTTAAGATGACAACAGCCTTACAGAATTTCCAATTTAAAACAATGCTTGTAGCATTAACAATAAAGAAATATGATAATAGCGGAAACCTACTGGTAACATTGCTTCTGCCCATTCTCCATGACCTCTCTGTAAAACTTTTATTCTTTCTACATCACTACAAATCTGTACCAAGTCACCAACTGCAAACAGAACTGCTGCAGTAGTTTCTGGTGCTACTGCTGTAGAACTATTTGGAGTGTTTACTTTTGTTAAAACTGCTGGATTAAATGTCCATCTAGAAAAATAGTAGATTTTATAAAAATACATAACACAATATAGTAATTAGTAATGATTGGCTGATCATCGGAAGAGGATCAAATGTTCTTCTGTCAAGATTAGTAATCTTTTGATATGCATACATAACTGTTCAGACCAGACCGAATGAAAAACATCTGAATGTTCTAGATTTACATAAAAGGGTTATTGTGGATGCGATCCTCAGACGAAAATTGATAATGCCCAGAATAGTACTGTACCTATTGCCACTAGGATAAGATACAACAATATCATGATCTTCATCTATACCAACTACAGTACCAGTTGTACCCAGGCACTGAAATATAACAATATTCAATTAGTTACTTTCTAGCTACGGTTGTGTAACAACTCAAAAATAAGATAAATTTATAAAAATATAGCTAATTAAACATACGATATATAATAGTATGGTTTAAAGAAACATTATGTAAGATTTAGATCAAGAACTGGTTGTTCTTGCTATAATAGCTCAAAAATAGATAATATAAAATTAATATATTGAAAATTCCATATGAATTACTTTATTCTGAGCCAAGTTATCACTGTTTGTAGTTTTAAAAAGATGTGTGCATTGATTGGTCATTATTGTACCCCCGGTACTGGTGAGACAGACTCACTCCTCCATTTTTGAATTAAATCATTAAATGGCCAAACCTTTCTAATCTAGTTAAAATCTCAAGCATCCGATGGCACTGAGAGTTGATTATGAATAAATGCCTTAATTAATAATTTATATAAAATTTAAAGCCGATAGGCAAATTTAGCTCTTGAATAATGAATGTATCTTTAATAAAATAATATTAATACATGTTTCCAGTTTCATTACCTCAAACATTCCATCTGTCCATCCACCATGTCCATGTTGTAATGATTGCACAATTTCTAAATCTAGATCAACATTCACTTGATCTCCTATAGCTAAACCACATGGTCCAGATCTGGAACCAGATCCTTGCTCACCTAGATTTAAAAATATAAACAAATGGAAACATTTAAGACAGATGTAAACAGAGGAAAGGATTAACCATGTTTCAGAAATAGTAATTTCAACTAAAATTAATAATCTAGTAATATTCGACATAGTTCAACACCTACGTATAACACACGTTTTACAAGAGGCTGTCCCCTCTGAACTAGGGGTGCGTGTAATTAAAGAGAATACAAATTTGAAACTTTTCCTATCACTTTCAATGCACAAAAAATCAGTGATATTTTTAATTACAGGTTAAATAGTAGATTCTGGAATTGCATGTCACTGTCAGTTTGACATGAATACAGCTCATATAGTGACGTAAACTATGAGATTAAACTAAATATAGTCACCAACAATTTATCAAAATAAAACTTTACGTAGTCATAAATCAAAATTTGAACAGTGATAAATATCTATTTTGTGTTATACGTGGCTGTTTATGGTGATGATCTCTTTGCTATGTTGCATTTCTCATGTCTTTTGTTTATATCTTACCTAACAAAGGTAAATGTTCTCTGTAAAATGAACCACCCTTTGCATCATTCACAACCTTTAAGTCTGCCTGTAATAATATAAAACATTTACATAAAAGTTTATAAATCTACTACAACAGAGAAGAATACTAGCAATCAAAGAAATTGTAGTTAAAACATCTTTGTTGTATTAAAACAAGCGGTTGCCATGCAAGATACATTCAAATTTTGCAAGAGATGGATGGAGAACTTGGAAACTCATCCTCTCAATGTCCCAATGCTTCTTCACAATGAATGTAAAAAAGAAAAGAAATTATACAAGTGTATTTCCTAAATAATTCAATGTGAATTAACAACTCGGGCTGTATTAAACAAGAAGTTGGGTTTGGATGCACACTAAGGATGTCACGGTTTGAAAAATTTTGAATCCGGTACTTGGTCATTAAAAATCCAACCGCAACTGTTTAACCGATGTATTCATATTTTCTCCATCTTGCGCACCACATCTTCAGATCACTTTCAAGCAGGTTGATTTTTAAAAAAAAATCCCCTTAATCCTTTATAAGATTAGTTATGCCATAAATATTTGATCCTTAACACACATTTCAAATTTCAGCTATATCGGACAAAAATTGTGTCCTTTGGAGGGTCCACAAACTTGGTACATATTTGTGTGAAAGGTAGTGGGCATAACTTCTGAAAGGAAGGTCCGATGCACACCGAAATTGAACTCATCCAAAATCTTTTGATCCTTAAAGCTGAACTCCGTTTACAAAAGTACAGAAATAATTAAATAAAAAAAAATTAACACCCAAAATAATCGCAATACTTGTTTTCAAGATGTAGAACAATCATGACGATTGTACGGCATACAAAAACAGAGGCAGGCCGCGCCCACATCCAGTTTACTACTTGTCATCCACACTGTCCACATCCAGCTAGCAATATTTCAGCTGACTGACGTTTTTATACTATCAGTTTAATGAAAATATTATTGCTACCCAATTATTATGTTTGATCAGGTACATATTATTTTACTAATTAGACGAAATAAGTAAACCATGGTGTACTTTTGCTCTAAAAATATGAGAAAACTGCCTTACCCCAAACAATAACAAATCTACCAACACCAACAATTTTTTTCTTATTTCTTGAAATGTTTTGTACAACAGCGTGGAAACACCAAATAATTTCTAGTATTATAAAGTCTAGTATTATCGTTCCAAAATATACCCAAAGCAGCAATAAAACTGTTGTTATTTCCATCAAAGAAGTATGTTTTCACTTCAAAATATTCACCATCTTGTGAAGTAGTTATGTCCCTTGATGTTATGTCAACAACATAGAATTGGTTGGTGTTCTTAGATTTGTTATTGTTTGGGGTAAGGCAGTTGTTTTGTTTCTCATATATTTAGAGCAAAAGTATACAGTGGTTTACTTATTTCATCTAATTAGTAAAATAATATGTACCTGATCAGATATAATAATTGTGCAGCAATAATACTTTCAGTAAACTGTTAGTGAAAAGATAGGTTGGCAGGCAACGAAACATACGCCCACAGCAACTATATCGTCCGGGCAGTCAACAAGATTTGTTGCATATTTTTACTTTATTCGGTAATGAAACATCTATAATACATTAAAATCTGATTAAGAGTAACAACTCATTAAGTAATTATCAGAAAACCATTAGATTTTGTTTGGTTTTTATAAAGTTCTGCCCCATGCTAACGTTTAGTTTACGAAACTTTTAACATCATGGATTTAGCTGTTCAAGTCATAAAGATTCATTGAAAATCAATATACTTGTTTGTCTCAAGAAATTAAACTCTGTGTATCAATCTGAAGTCAATCGGATGATAACTTTAGCCTCTAGAGCATCACAAGATTTTTCAAAGTGATCAAGGACCATAACTTTGGCAGTATTTATCCGAAATCGTTGAAAATCAATATGATTCTTCATCTCATGGCCTCAAACACTGTGTATAAATTTAAAGTCAATTGGATATTAACTTTAACTCTGGCAGTAATTATCAGAAATCGCTGAAAATCAATAGGCTTCTTCGTCTCATGACCTTAAACACTGTGTATAAATTTAAAGTCAATCGGATATTAACTTTAGCCTTTAGCGTCCACAAGATTTTTCAAGGCGTGAACTGGATGTGGGCGTGGCCTGCCTCTGTTTTTGTATGCCGTACAATCATCATGATTGTTCTACAACTTGAAAACAAGTATGGCGATTATTTAATAGGGTGTTAATTTTTTTTTATTTCAGAGTTCAGCTTTAACACATTCATCTAAATCAAACAAATATTGTGGACTCTATAGGGTGCATAACGTTGGGATATGTATTACATGCTCTGCCACATTTGCATATTGCGGAACAGCTATCTTGTCAGGAAGTTACATGTACGGTCCGATTTTCATGAAATTCGAACTCAACCATGATTGTGGTTTGACAAAACATAAATTTTAATTTAATCTTAAGGCATTCTCATACTTTTCAGCACTTTGCAGACATCTGGGTGCTATATAATTGTTTTTTCTGTGTTTTGAAACACAGTCCTTCTGTACTGTCTATTAAGTGTTATAATATTACATTACAGTAAAAATTGTTGTTCCACATAGAGAAATTTATAATTCAACCTACCATGCCTTCGAAACCAACCCTATACAGATTTTTAGCACCATTATCCCATAAAACATAAGCTGCACTTCTTGGACTAGCTGCACTCCAATCCTAAAACAAAGTCAATTGCAGGATTACTCAAAATTATTGGAGAATCAATTCCTAAGCATAAAAAGATTGGTATTTATCAATCCTTGATAATTATAAATGAGCTTAAACAATATCTAGGGGATGTTATTTTCCAAAACACTTTTTAAATTTAATGGTCTCCGTGCCTTTTTGATTTACTTGCAAATTTCTAAATCAATGTCTTGCTTCTTTGCCCCATATAAGAGTTGATACTTATAACACAATTTGTCCAGAAGACTCCCAAATATTACGCACTGACACAGGATTTGGCTTAATAGATTATAGATAGAAAATTGACCCAATTGTAATTATCATATAATGTTTGTGACTGGAAAGAGAGACTTAGTTACCTGGATTCCGAGTTTTGCTGGTTCGAGTGCCAAGAAATTAAAAGATAGGTTGCCAGGCAACGAAACATACGCCCAAAATCGTCCGAGCGGTTGACAAGGGTTGTCGCACATTTATTCTTTTGTAGATAATTGGAGGCATTTATTTACAAGACAATTTCATACAGATCGGATTATAATTTTCTTCGTTTGAGGGCTCACAAGGTTCTACAAACCGGCTTTTTCATTTTACTAATTCAAATAATGCATATAAATTTCATACAGATTGGATTATAACTTTGGCCATTTGAACATTCACAAGTTCAACAAAGTAAAACAAGGGCCATAAATTTAGAAGTAATCAACAGAAATTGGCGAAATTCAATAGGTTGCTTGATTTCACTAATTTAAATAATGCATATAAATTTCTTACAGATTGGATGATAAACTTTCATCATTTGAGCGTTCACAAGGTTCAACATGGTTCAACAAGGGTCATAACTCAACAAGTAATTATTTGAAAATGCTGAAATTCAATAGGATTCTTCGTGTCACTAATTTAAATGACGCATATAAATTCCATACAGATCGGACAATAATTTTTGTCGTTAGAGCATTCACAAGGTTCAACAAGGGCCATAACTCCAGAAGAAATTAAAGAAAATTATTGAAATTAAATAGGCTTCTTCATGTCACTAATGTAAACAATATTTCAAAACAATCAGATGATAAATGTAGTCTGTAGAGTGTTAACTATAATTTTACGGACAGGGGCGATGGTATTATACAACTACATTTCCATGTGGGTGTATAAAAATGGCTAATTTATAACAGGGCATTATAAAATCAAACTCAAATGGCCCCAAGGCAAATCTACAGACCATGGTCCAACAAGCAGCAAGTTAAATCGACAACTGGTTAGATAATATTGTTCTTTCCATTTACCTGAATTTCAGTAACTTTTCCACGTCTGCCATTGCCACCATCTTGATCTTCCCACTGCCAATCAACTCCTCGAACAACGCGAGCTCCTGGAAATATTCCTCTTGCTGTTGTCTTTTTACTTTTTCTTCTTGGTTCTTGAAGCACTCTAAAATAACAAACAAGAGATAATCAATTTTACAAGAACAATGAAAGCTGCTAGAAATAATTACATAATATTTTTATCTAAAATACCTATTTGCAACCATGTATAAAACTTTGTGTGGCTCGAACGTTTATGCCTGTGAATCATTGCCCAGTTTATTAACCATTTGAAATACTCAAAATAATGTCCAATTAGGTCAAAATAAACATAATTTTTAGTGTAAATATAGCCGGGAATTGAGAAAGAAATTCCAGGTGGAGCAAGTATTGCAGATATTTTAGAATCTCAATATTCAAATGAAGGCATGAATTTGGTAAATTTTTGATAAGTGATGGAATCAATGTGATTTGGATTACAGAATTACAAGAATCTTCGAGTCTTTATCCCAAAGGAATTTCAAGAGTATTTATATGCCTACATAATATATGACGTGGCAGGAGAGAGAGAAATGGGGTTTAACGTCCAATCAACAATAAAACAATGTAAACCTTATTTCAATAATTAGCTTGCGATTAGAGCTCTTTGCAGCGGAAGAAAAGCCATGATATAAGGTTGGGTTTGGCGACACTACTCCTGCTCTTGTACAGATTTGGGATCAAAACCACGCCAGTATGATCTAAAGCACACTCGTTAAACCACTCCACCCCCACCACGGTGACAAGTATGAAAAAAAGCTACCTGTGATGTGGTTGATCTCAGATAATTAAGTGTGAAAGGACAGCAACATTTCGAGGCCTGTAGTAAACATCTGTTAAACTTAGCATTCAGAACTCATATTTTACAATATTTCAAATCATTAACCCATTGTTTATCAATAGCATTAAGCAATAATGTTATTTTTGCACCACCCACTATTGTTCTACCATGTTTATATTTATTGATTTGTATATTATTAATGGATTTTCGTCAGAAGGAAAACAATGCCCTTATATTTACCTCTCATTACCAGGCACAGTTATTCTATAAAACCGGTGCCTCAAATTATGCTTGTCTCCGTGGTAACACACAGAACATAAATCATAGTTTGGACATTCAGCACATTTCCATCTTATTCCAAAAATAGGTTGTTGTCTACATGTATCACACATAGTTCCATCATGTTTGATTCCTACAGCACATATAACATCATTTTAAAAATAAGAATCAAATCAAAACCTTGCAAACAATTCAATATTTGTGCAAACAGATTTGCAGTTAGTGTGGAAGCTGCCATTACTGGTTGTGACTTCATACTCTAAATAACATTTGACAGAACTCTTTTACATATTTGGAGTATTACATTTCAGATTCTGAATACAGCATAGAACACATATTTTCAATAATATTTAAAGCTACAATTTTCTTAAACCATGTGTGATATTACACTAGATTGAATTGCAGTTCAAGCCAATGATGTGACCATAAAAGACATGTAATACTGTCAAATCCTTTTGTTTCAGCAAGGGATATTAAATTTTCACCAAACCCATTTAAATGCTTAAATGGTTTTTTCAACAAAATGTTATTAATAATATTATCTTATCCACTAAAAGCAATACTACTATTGTGCATCTTGGCAAAAATTCAGGTTGTTTCACATCATTTTGTTACATAATATGGTTTAATGCCAAGATTATGCATTAAGTTGTTTGCACACACTACTTGAGGCAACACATCAAAAGCCGTAGCAGTAGGGCTGCAACGACACGCCAGGCCACGATACGATGGGCATCACGATTCATAGGCTACGATACAATTAATATCGCGATATGGGAAATAAATTTAAAAAATGCTGTTAAATTTTGACAGTCTTTCACTGTGAAAATTCGAAGGCCTACTGTTATGATTTACTTTAAATGTGGTGTTTTATCGGTCAACTGAACGGATTTCATTGCTGTCATGCTTTCACTGTGAAAATTCGAAGGCCTACTTTTAGTTTTATGATTTACTTTAAATGTGGTGTTTCCTCGGTCAACTAAACGGATTTCATTGCTGTCATGCTTAACGGGAAATCCTAAAAACTCCTATACTTTACTTGTGACTTATATACTTGGTATATGGGATTTTGATCTCAATATTGTTTTTGTCGATCATGCGGCTTGAATTTGGTGAATTCATTATGAAACAAATTTCAACTGTCAGGTCAGTCATAGATTATGGAATAGCAAAGGAAATAACGTTACGAAGATTTTAATATCAAATATTAATATACATTGGAAATGTGCTGATCAATGTATGCAGTATGTTCAAATCGCCATTCTTATACAGTAATATTATGACAAATCGCATATTACTGACGTATATATATTAATATGTTGTATGTTTTTTCCACATATTATTCAAGTGTGTAATTTGAACGCAACTTAATTTCCAGCTCGACTTGCATCACCAGCAGACCGATATTTTAATCTTGACGAAATAGTTATAATAAGCCACTTCATGTGTCGAAAACGCCTTAACACTTGCTCATGGTCTTATTTATGCATTTAAAGGAATATTAGTCTATTTTTGTGAAATTATTATATGGATAACGAATCGCGATATGGACATTGATTGTATCGTGCATCGTGGATTTTTAAAACATCGCGGTTCATCAATGCATCCCTACGTAGCAGCTATGTCAGTATAGACAGTATAAAATCATTGCTTTTTCGTTCCACTAATTTCAATAAAAATTTCATAGTCAGGTGAAAACTACTACAAAGTGAAACAAGAGTTACAACTCTAGCAACAATTAATGGAGTGTTGAAATTCAATATGCCTCTTTGTTTCAATAATCCACACATCCATTTCAAGCTGATAGTAACATTTGTTGTTAATGTTAGACCATTCACAAGATTCTATTGAAATACTGAAAGTCGAATGAGGGCAATAACTTTAGCAGTAAATTACAGAAATTTGTGAAATACCAAAGGCATTTTCATACCACTATAATTAACATATCAATTTTTTGAATTTGTATTCTGTAGAGTGTTCACAAGAAGTTATGAATGACAGATTGACGCTACAATATACAAATGACCACACTACCATGTGGGTGTACAGTAGAATCTGTATTAAGCAGCAACTCAAGGGAATTATTTTGACTGGCCGTTTAACGGGAGTGACCTCTTAATAAAATCCCAATGTTTCTTAGTGTTGACATAAAGTAAATTTTACTTGATGCATTGGGAGCAAACATCAATACTTGCATCAGTAAATTTGGCTGCTGAAACCTTAGAACGATATATCTTCTGTAAACTTATCATTTTGTACCAACATTGATACTATTGTCTATCATTGTGATAATCAGGCCTTCATGTACATTTGTAAAAGGAGCGTCATCCCTCTCGCTCTCCTGGATACGCCTGGATGTCAGTCGAGGTGCACTTATTATAGCTCTTCTCAATGTCTAAATTGACTCCCCTCAAAGAAATTAAATGAAATGGTGTTTAACGTCCTACTGTTCTGCTCCTAACTGGGCTAATAAAGACGGGCATACGCCATACAGTGTGATATGAGGGAAATTTCCCCCTGGCAGTGGCGCTACAGCCTATTCTTACATTGAATTCCAACTGCCAAGGGATCTTTTACGTGCACGCCAATATGTACACGGGACCTCAGTTTTCGTCCCATCACGCCGGAAAATCTGGATGAACTTTCTACGGCCAATGCAGTGATCGAACACCTGACCTCCAGACTAGCGAGCCAGTGTCTTACCCACTTAGCCACGTGATCCCCCTCCCCTCAAAGAAAATAATCAGGAAAAATATACCGGTAATGAAAAATACTGTCAATATCGACAATCAACTTGCCTTGTCGGCTACAACAAAAGTCATACCTTAGTGAGAATCAGCCATCCGGTTCATAATCCGAGTAATTAGCACATTTAACGGTAATTTTGATAATTCGGTAAAAAAAACAATACCAGCTCGCTGGTTATTCATAACAGGTCCAGTCAGTTTCCTTCGTAATAATAACCCACATGGCGAATGAAGACATCTCGCTCGACATGGATTGTGAATCTTGGGATTCGCGCCATCTTCGATGCTTGATCCAAACGAATTCGTACAAATTATTATTTTAAAAAATAATAATTGGATAATACATTTTTGGGTTTTACTGACCCGTTGTTAGTTAAATCTAAATAGTCATTGAATAATCCCTGATAGAACACCAGATATCCCAAGAAACAGTCATTAATAATATATTTTTCCCCCGATAACACGTGACATGCATCCGTTGGAATTGGGTCATTAAACCAGTATTACTATATTTAGTTTTAAATAGCGTTTTAGTTTTATTCTTTTTTATTAAGTTATTTTTTAAAATATTGTCCTTATATGGCATAGTCACATGATCATTGTGTAGCTTGTCTATCATTCACAAATGAATAAAAACTTTGTAAGTTACGTGATAGACAAAAACAATAATTTGTGTTTCAAATGTGAAGAAATGCCAAGGTGTCGTATCAGCTCATTTTGGCTACTGCATTTTCTGATACTGGCCGTAGTAGAAACATCCTAATTTCGATCGACTGATGATATACATGTACGTTTATCTGTCGAATAAACAAGACAGTATTTATTCAGGAATATTACTGACTTCAACGAACTTCAAGTCATACATTAGCCTATTCAGAATACAACATTCTCCATAAACCAAAAATTATTTTTGTTGAAGTCTGGTTATATTCAAGTTAACAGGAGCTTCTAATTACCCTATTTTCTACTGGGACCTCATTTGACCCAATTCTGGCAGGTTGGTTTCAAAATGGATTAAAATCCATGTTCTTATCACAAATGCTAAGAAAGCTCTCCTCAAGAGATTCAGGAGAGCGATTTACCCTTTTTCCAATTTCAGAAGAGCTTTTTTTGACTGTCCAGGAATTTATTCATGTGAAGGCCTGGATGTATTAGATAACATTTATTCATATCTGTGAAGAAAATCCATGAATTAATTTTATTTGATCAAAAAAGCACATGTTTTAAAAACCATCAATGAATTTGGCATCGATTATCAGGAGGGGGTGTAACTCTGTTTGTAATATAGGAACACTAAATCTTCTGATTAGCAACAAAGTGGCAATGGAAAATTGATACTAAATGATCGTGACAAAACTTGGCTTTGACAGTCCCTTTAGTTTATTCAATCAGTATCAAGTAATGTTTCGTTACGTGTGAAAACAATGATCAGGTTTTGTCATTTAACAAAACAAAAGATTAATTAACAGATAATCCTGGGTTTATTGTTATTTTCACAGTTCGTTTTACTTGATTGGTGGGGGGCTAGACACGGGATTAGCGGAGGTGCTAGGAAGTACGACAAGATGGTATCATTCAACAATGGCTGTTGAATAATTGAATAAGCGCTATTTTGCTAAATTTATTAGTAAACTAGTGACCGCTGGCTGCGTTAGAGGAGAAACCGATGACTAAAGAGATGAAACAATAAAATTTCAATGGGCGGAATTTATCATGACCGCTTACATTACAAGGAGAAGTCGCTGAATAGGAGTGGCTGCTCGTACAGATTCTACTGTATACAGTAATAAAATTGTCTTGGTATTAACATGTAGACAGAGAGTATAGTTGTGTCTTGAATCGTCAATGATTAATGGGCTATGATAGAGGAGATCAAATTTTTCGGCTAAATATTTGGGAGATATCATATCTCTAGTCATATTGATTGAGTGGCGTGTAGTACATGATGTATTGTATGGATTTATATCTGGAGGTATGGTTTATGACATATGGAACTATTTGATATACTACATGTACATTGTGGTGCCTAAATTATGATCTACATGTAGATCATTAGGTCTAGAAATTTGTCATTTTTTGCAAGAATCTAAGAGGATTCTCATATATGCAATCTGCGCGAATCCTCCGAATATTAATTAAAAAACTGTCTAAAAAACAAAATTGTATTTACTGCTTATTGCCAGTATCAGAATGTCGTAGCCAAAATAAGCTGATACGGCACCACAGCATTTCTTCATAACACAATTTGTAGTCTTTTGTCCATCACGTAACTTGCAAAAGTTTCATCAATGATAGACAAACGCAACAATGAGCATGTGACAACCATAACTGAAATTGCTATAAAATAAAATTCTGCACGACTATGATATAGCCTTCAAAAATATTTTTAAAATTAAGCCTCTGTCAACATGTGTATAAAATAAAAATATATTCATAAGGGTAAACGCTATTTACATCTGGTTTATTGACCTAATTCCAACCGATATGTCACATGTCATTGGAATTCAGCATTGGAGATTCTGTTGGAAAAATACCCACTTTTTCTCTCTCTGTGTATTCGGTGTTCTATCAGGGGATTATATTCAATGAAGATTTAAATTTACCTAATATCTGGTCAGTGAATCCATCAATGTACGATCCAGTTATTATTTTAATATCTTTCGGTACATGAAATTCGCACAGACGAAGCGTGGAAGACGTGTGATTTGCAAACCATGCCGAGATCGTCTTCATTCGCTACATACATGGCTTATTTTACTGAACCTATTAAGTATAATCAGCAAGCTTGTTTTGTTTTTTTACCAGATTATCAAAATCACCGTTAAATGTGCTAATTACTCGGACTATATAGTATGAACTACATATGGACGATTCTCACTATAAAGGTATGACTGTTGTAGCCGACAAGAGTGTTGATTGACTTCTTATTAACAAGTAATAATTAACCTGTTGTAATTTAGCCGAAAGTAGATTGATTATTTATGATACCATAGTGGCCGATTCATTGTTTTACCAATCGGCTAAAGCCGACAAAATACAGCCGATTATGAACACTGATCGACCCTGACTGACATTCAATGGTCAGACTCGATAATTCTCCGAAATTTATTATTTTTATAGAAAAATTTTAAGCAAATCCTTGTAGATTCGCAGTGTAAGCTCTTGCGAGAATCCTTGCGCGAATTAGATTCGGAGGTTCGCATGAATTTCTAGGGCTGATCAGTTTTCAATTTTAATACGGACCGCCTTAGTAATAACAGAGTCAAATTTCTACATGAATAACTGATAAAACTTCCCCACAAATCATTTTGAGAAATTTTGATATGTTCACTCATAAATTTATAAACAAAATAACCTGGATTTAAAAGTCTTAGTTCAGTCAGGATAGGGTTAGGCTGTACCGCAAAAAGCACAATTTTGAACAACAGCGCTGTATTTATTTTTTAATATTTCCCTCATGGTATATGCCCATCTTCATTAGTCTGGTTGGAGCAGAAAAGTATTAAAGTAAGATGCTAAACTCCAGTTTCATTCATTGATTGATAATCAAAAAGAAAGTTAGAGAAGTTACGAATACCATCACTACATTTTTCCGTGACAACAACTGGGTCTAGTACTGTATCATTATACAGAGTTGTAATGCGACACTTTTGTACAATTGTGCCTTGTATCATCCCAACCCTAGCTAGTCCAGGTGTAAAAATTCTGGGCTAGGGCCCACCTCAATTGTCAAATCCTCAATTATTTTGTTTTGATTTATATAAAATTAAATGTATCTAAAATAATTAACCTGTTGGTGCGCTGTCAAGTGCTCTTAGATCATAAGCACCAGCACATCTATAATTAGCAGCCGTTCCATTATCCCATACAACGACTACTTCTTCTGGTGACTCAAAATTCCTGACAGTACCAACATGCCCCTCCCCACCATCCTGTTTACCCCACTTCCAATCTGGACCTCGAACAACTCGGGCCCCTACTCCGTCTGTAATGTTCAGTCGGAGCCCTCGGTTCGTGGCCCCAGCCCCCGAGTCCATGTTAATATTGACATCCAGTTTGGCGGTTAACAGACTACTATTTCATACATTTTTTGTTGAATTAAATTTGACACTTATTCACAGAATTTACTAAAATGGCAGAAGTTCCTCTTCTCGTATTTTCTCGGAAATACTTTAAAATCTCGCGAGATGTCATTCGAGGAATGGCGAGTGTGGCAAAGAAGCAAAGCAGATACAGGTCACGAAGAAGGTTAGCTGCTCTCAGTTTCTTATCAAATATTTCCTTAGATGGCAGCCACAGGGACACCAAGTTTGCACCATTTCAAAATAAAAACGAAAAATTAGATGACACAAAGGCCAGCACAGATGAAAATTCGGATAAGAATTTAGGAACTGGTTTCTCAAGGGGCGCAACTCATGCAGGAAGAAGTGGCACTGGAAAGAATAAACATTCAGAGAAGGGTAAATCAGGAAAATGGTTGGACACTGGCAGTTCATCGGAAAAATCTTCGGATACTATGTCATCGAGTCCACAGATAAGGTGGAGGTATATTCTAACATTATAAATGTCTTGTAATTGTGCTGTTATTGTAGCCGTAGCATAGTTATAGTAGGCGTACGTACTCATCTTGATCTTCAATATTAGAAGGCTTGATCTCGCTTTAACTCTGTACATCTTATCAAGGCCTTCACGTAATACCCTGCATATTTCGGCACTAATTTTGATTGGCTACAAGCCCAGCTTGTGAGCCTATCAGATTCCCCGATCGTCGCGAATACCAAGTCTCGCGCTTTCAAGGTAAAATGTCTACCTGTGATAATTGAGTTGCAAAGTTCAAGGTTCATTCAATGTCAAGGTTTCCGTGGAGGTCGCGATGTCACAACCTCTGATTGGACGCTACTGCCCACGTGTCTGTAGATAACATAGCTATAAGCAACGTCCAGATGTTGTAAAACTCGCAGTCATTGTTTCAGGAATATAAGGCGTACTACTACTAGTACTAGCCTACAGGGCACTATTCAGCTCTGAACGTAAGTTCTCGTTACACTCGCCCTCTTTGTCGAAAAATCGGTCGCGTGTCTGTCAGTCTCTGTGAACGCCTGTACAATGTAAAAGAACATTTTAGTGAGAAAATAAGACCTTGCTTACCTTGCTATAGTCAGCAGGGGTCAAAATTAGTGAAATTGGAACGAAGGCATTTTTATTTCTTCGAAATCAGGCGTCCTAAAAATTCTTGCAAGACCGTGAATCTGCTTTGGCTCAGCGACACGAAGATTCGTGCAATTCTATAATCCGTATCCACAATTCCACCAAATATAAGTATCATGATACATGTAAATTGGACACTCATTATCAAAATTAATCAGTCAGCTTTAAACTGGACACAAGTACAAATTAGATGATTTTTGGTGATTTTAAACAATTTTACAAATTTTTAAACAAAAATATGATATTAAACAAATGTGAAAGAAATTAGTGCTACACAAGATTAAATGATACCTGGGTTACAGTGTTTGTTTAGAATATTGCAATGAATAACAATAACAATTTCTTATAGTTACTGTATAGTTATAGAGGTATTGTGTTGAAATGTTTTGTCATCGCCAATGATGTTATACAATATAAAAATTTACCTTTTTATTTACCTAATGATTCCCAATGTGATAACCTTTACAATGGCCTGCTAGTGCTCCAGCAACTTAGCTGCTGTGGGCACATGTTTTTTGCCTGGCATTATCTTTTATTTGTGAGTCCAGTTTTTAGTCTGGTATTGATTCATGTGACATCCATTGAGGACAACATATAAACTTATGCATTTGATTATATTTGTACATGTACATTTGAATTTAATCTATTATTGTTCACTAGGCTAAGATAGTATGTGTGTAGCCGTAGGCATTTTAAGTCAAAACTATGACATTGTTGAAAACATTTGATTTACATGGACATATCTATTTTTAGGTCATCAACATTTTCATCAGAGAGAGAAAAATCAGTAAAACAGAAATTAATACAGCTATTACCTGATTCTCTTCAACCTGTCAAGGAAAATGTTGGAGAAAGAGCAGAAAGTGAGTCAATGGTTTTACTAAAATATTTTCGTATTCATAATGATTTTTATCATGGAATCACACATGATATACACATGTATGTAAAACTACATGTATACACATAATGCAGTTATTACATTAACTTTTGGACTGATGTACAGGCTAGCATACAAATACATTCATCAATAGCATGATAAGAAAGAATGGTGATGGTTGAATTCGCTTAAAAAGTAGTATAGACCTCACCGCAGAAAATTTTTAACAAAATTTGACAAAACAGTCAACATGTTTGGATTTCCAAATAAGGTCTTCTGTTAGGTGTTGCTTGCAAATATATTTTCATTTGGATTTTCAACCCATTATAGACACGGAAATTTCATTATCTTTTTTTTTTAAAGAATCCTGATAGTTAGATTAAAGCTGACATGAAAATATATATGACATTATAGTTCAAGTACATGTATTTGTAATGAATGTATATTGTTGGTATTTAAATAAATAAATACAACAAACATGTATAAATTTTAATTTCATTGAAATATTTCCTTTAATTTTCCTTAAGAAGAAAATCGTTACAGACGTTCAAGTTCTATGTCTGCTGATTCCAATGATTCTCTGACCAAGGAAACTCATTTTCTTTCACCCGATAAAAAGAAGTTAACCAAGAATGGAAGGTTGGTTATCAGTTATGTAAATAAATTAACATTGTTACAAGTATGAGTAAATTGATGCAAAATCCTCTTGAAGTTTGTATCTCATTTAAAATTTCAATTTTTCATTTGTGGTGTCCAGGGTTAGTATTTGAAACCTTGGAACCCACTAAAACAGGCTCTTACCAAAGTTAATTGAAAGGCTTCCTTAATAAAACTATGTACCTGTAGTTGAATCATTTATGGTTGAATCAGAAAACAGATTACTGTATGGTTGAATCATAAAACAGATTACTGGGTGTGAAAGTAAAAGCATATCATATTTATTAAAATATTAAATGTGTTTCAGAAAATATCTCAATGATGAAGGTAGACCAAGACATCATTCTGGATCCAGATCAGTTTCTTCACAAGAAGGGTTACAAACATTGGGTTTAGTTCCAACAAAGTTAGAAGATGGACAGGTAATTTGATTTATATAATATTAAGATAAGTTTGAATTGGTTTTTTTAAATAGCTAGGGCAGTCGAGTGGTTTAACTGTGTGCACTTTAGGACATAAGGTCTGTCATTGAGTCAAATGGCATGGTTTTGATCGCAAGCTTGTAGAAACAGGCTGTCCTTCCTAACCTTGTTGATTTCTTCCGGGTTCTCCAGCTTCCTCCAACTGCTAAACACCCACTAAGTGCAATTGAATTATTCAAATGAAATTATATCATATGTTAGTCCTGAAATGACCTAGTTTGTGTTGAGTTGATGTTAGATATTCACCCGGCTTGAAATTAATTGGATGAAAAAGATGCCTGTCTAAAGATTCGACCTAATACTCTCTAAAAGAGGTTTAGTGATCAAGCGGTCTTACATGTGCGCTTTAGGGCATAAGGTATGTCATTAGTTAAGTGGCATGGTTTTAATCCCAAACTTGTACGTAAAGAGTAAGGTCGCCTGCCCAACCTTGTGGGTTTTCTCTGGGTCCTCTAGTTTCCTCCCACTGCTAAAGACTCCTACCTGCAAGCGAATTATTGAAATACAAATATATGTTAGTTCTGAAATGACCTAGTTTGTGTTAAGTTGATGTTAGGTATATACCTGGCATGGATTTAATTGGATTATCTGATTAATACTAACAGATGGCTCTGGCTATTTATAACTTATGCCGAGGATGATGACAGTTGGATCATTTTCTCTGCATCATGTCTTTGTAAATGCTGAACGGAATGGGGCCATTTTTGGTCTGATATTCCTTAAAGAGATTCATCTTTCACAAGATAGTAGTTTGCAAGGGATTTAAAATCCTGCAAATGGCAATCAACGGCTTTAATACATGTACATTAATTACACAAAGATTGTTTAGAGTTGCTGTTTGTGTTAGCCTTCTTGTGGTTGATTTAAAGTTTTTATAATGCATTGTATTTACACTAATGTATTTGTTTATTTGAAGGATATATCTTACTGTGAGTTTTTAGAACCATCTAGAAGAAAGATCATTATAAAACGTGTTTTATCAGAAAGTGGTGTGTTATCTGATAATCATCCATTGAGTCATGGTAATACCTTGTTTACATTAACTAACCGTTGTTTCTGATCATGCTATGGGATATATTTTCATGTGGATGTATATTGTTGTCACCCCTGTCCGTCCATCCATCCATCCACAGTTGTTATCCGATTTTGATGAAGCTTGAAATATAGGTTTATCTCCCAAAGATCTAGGTTTCTTTCGATATTGTAATGTATCTGACCGTAACTTCGTGGGTTATGGCCCCTGATTGTACAAAAAATCTCATTTTTAGTTTATGGACACTTTAGAGCTCACAATTTTTATCTGATTTAAAAAAAATGTATATATATCACCGCTACACCATAATGACAGTTGAGTTCAAAATTCCTGAAAATGGGACAGAAACTGCCTGACAAAATGGCCGCTCACTGTACGTAAATAGTATAAAAGTATGTAATACCAGAGGTCACAATTTTTATCTGATTTTGATGAAACTTAAAATACATGTATATGTCCCAAAGATCTGGGTTCCTTTCGCTACTTGCATATATCTGACAATAACTTCCTGGATTTTGGCCCCTGATTGTAGGAAAAAGGATTTTTTATCTCCCGCCTTTCAAAGAAGGCAGGGAACTATTAAAATGGGTCTGTCTGTCACACTTTTTGGGACACAATAACCCTCCTAATTGAGGTAGAATGTTCAAACTTGGTGTTGGTGTTTATTAGGTAAATGCCTTGATGGAATTCGTAGAGACTTCAATCTGATTGATCAAGACTTTGGAATACAGTTACTCTCCTTCTAATTGAAGTAGAATGTTCAAACTTGTAAGTATTAGGCGTATGCCTGATAGTGTTTGATCATGCATATTTTCCACTAAGCAGAGATAAGCAATTTGATTTGTTAAGACTGGAACTTTGGTTCTGATTGGGTGAGAGTGATGAAACTCAAGTAGAGATTCATTATAATAATACCTTGACTAAGTTTGATGATGAGAATTTTCTGCTTAGGCTAAGTAGCGATAAGAAATTTGATTGGTGAAGACTTTGGAACATAACAACTCTGCTTTTAATTGAGGTAGAATGTTTAAACTTGGTGTAGATGTTCATTAGGTGAATGTCTTGACCAGTGATGGGATTTCGCCTGTATATTCCGGACATGTCCGATGCTCTTTTCCAAACATCCTAAATTGTCCGACCAGGAATATGCCCAATTGGACATCAAGGTATGGTGAATAATATTCAAAATTCCAAAATTAATATAGTGTACTGAGTGTATATCTACCACTCAACCTGATTATCGTTAATAATAGGATGGATTGATTAGGTAATTAAGTGATCAACGTACTTTTCTATACACCTACCTTGATTAACTAGTTAATCTGCCTTGATTGACTGACTTATTCCTTTATCGGACAATTCATCAAACCAATCCTGAACAGAAGTCATTGCTTCTCCTTTATCAGACTATGTATCAATCCAATAAGAGTGATTATAAACTTAATCCACCATTGTCGGACGTTTTAATCTCCTTGATGTCGGCCAACAACACGTAGAAATGAGTCATATGTCACATATCCTAATAGTATATAACACCCCAAATCAATATACATTGTATCCGATAACTTGTCTGCGATATCACTTCGGTGGAATCAAGCTTTAAATAAAGCTATTTCACACACACATATCCGAAAAATACTAGACAATAATGTCAGTAGTTAATTGTTTTAGACGATAGTGCATGCTAGAGTCAAATGCTATTATTTAGTCAATGGCGTCACTTGCTCATTGTGGTAGAGCGATGTTTACTGCCAAATAAATTTCGGGATGTCATTTTTATACGCCCACATTGAAATGTGAACGTATATTGCCGTCGCCCCCGTCCGTCTGTTGGTCCGTCCTTCCGTCCATCGTCCACAATTTCTTGTGAATGCTCTAACCTAACGCCAAAAGTTATTATCCAATTTTTTTTAAAATTGATATAATATGTTGTTTACATTAGTGAGATGAAGAAGCCTATTTAATTCCAATAATTTCCATTTATTACGTCTAGAGTTATGACCCTTGTTTCACTTTGTTGAGCCTTGTGAACGCTCTAATGCCAAAATTTAAAACCCGATCTTTGTGAAATTTATATGCAATATTTAAGTTAGTAAAACGAAGAAGCCTATTGAATTTCAGCAATTTCCGTTTATTACGTCTCAAGTTATGGCCCTTGTTTCACTTTATTGAACCTTGTGATGCTCTAACGCCAAACGTTATCACCCAATCTTAGTGAAATTTATATGCATGATTTAAATTAGTGAAACAAAGAAGCCTATTGAATTTCAGCAATTTCCGTTTATTACGTCTAGAGTTATGGCCCTTGTGAACCCTCTAAGGCCAAAAGTTATCGCCCGATCTTTATGAAATGTATATGCATGATTTAAATTAGTGAAACAAACGTTATCACCCAATCTTTGTGAAATTTATATGCATGATTTAAATTAGTGAAACGTAGAAGCCTATTGAATTTCAGCAATTTCCGTTTATTACGTCTAGAGTTATGGCCCTTGTGAACCCTCTAAGGCCAAAAGTTATCGCCCGATCTTTATGAAATGTATATGCATGATTTAAATTAGTGAAACAAAGAAGCCTATTGAATTTAAGCAATTTCCGTTAATTACGTCTAGAGTTATGGCCCTTGTTTCACTTTATTGAACCTTGTGAATGCTCTAACGCCAAAAGTTATCACCCGATCTTTGTGAAATTTATATGCATGATTTGAATTAGTGAACGAAGAAGAAGATTGAATTTCAGCAATTTCTACAGTTATGACCCTTGTTTCACTTTGTTGCACCATGGGAACGCTCTAATGCTCTGCCGATCTGTATGAAATTTACATGTGTCATTAAAATTAGTCAAGAGAAGAATCCTATTGAATTTCAGCAATTTCCGTTTATTACTTCTAGAGTTATCATCGGATATGTATGAAATTTATATGCATCATTTAAATTTGTAAAACAGAGGTCTATTGAATTTCAGCAATTTGAGTCAATAATTTCTAGAGTTATGACGATTGTGAACCTTGTGAACGTTTGAATGACAAAAGTGATCATGTGATCTGTATGAAATTTATATGCATTATTTAAATTAGTAAAACGAAAAAGCCTGTCAAATTTCAATAATTTCTGTAGATTACTTCCAGAGTTGAGACCCTTGTTTCAGTTTGTAGAACCTTGTGAACCCTCAAACGACAAAATTTATAATCTGATCTGTATGGAACTGTTTTGTAAAGGCCCCCAATTACCTACAAAGGAATAAATATGTGACAACTCTTGTCGACCGCTCAGACGATTTAGCTGCTGTGGGTGTATGTTTTGTTGCCTGGCAACTTATCTTTTTACCTTCCGTATATACATGTAAGTTGAAACGGAGTATAAGAAGATGAATATTTGATGTCTGCTGAAAAATGTATCGAATGACCCGAAAAATACGGTAATTTTGGAGGAATTTGAAACATGTACAGGTTGGCAGTAGTCGGCACGCTTTCATTCTATCGTATTACGACATCACATAATTTTGAAGGAATATTACTGACATAAATTTGAATACCATACAGGCATTAAATATGAAAAATAACGAGGGGCACCTATGTTTTTATTACGTACGAATTTTAATATTTTGTTGAAACATAATTTTTGTGTGTGGTCTAAAACTGCCTGCTTAAATAACAATAAGAGTTATGTCCCTTTATTTTCGGTAAAAATGTCCTGACAGGAAAAAATTTGAAATTCCATCACTGGTCTTGATTGAGTTCAATGTCTTGATTGGTCGATGCTTTGGAACAAGACAACTTTGATTCTAACTTATGGAGAGTAATGAAACTTAGTGTAGAGTTTCACTACCAGGTACTTCAAAACATTGACTGAGTTCGTTTGCGAACATTTTCTGCTTAAATAATCAGTTAGATTGCTCGATACATTTCAAAAAGATAAATGTGCAATTAATATGTGTCATCTATTTATTTGGGGATTTCGGCGTGAGACATAAGCCTCAATGTTGGCTTGTTTTTAGCTTGTCCACTGTCTATCTCTTGCAAAATGTAGGTGTATCTTCCATGGTAACCGCTTGTTCTTGTTCCAAGGGCCTTCCTCAGTTGATTAGCAATGCACATTTTGTAGGATTGATGATTGCAGAAAAATGCAAAATTCAAGGAATTGGTCTCTTAAAAACGTAACACACCAAATTTGGTGGAAATATTTTTAAAGAACCATTGTCATCCCATTGTTAGTATTAATAGTATTGTTGCGTCAGTTAGGACCAAAATAGATTTCTTTTGTTTGAAAACACAAATGTTTGTCTAAAATTTGAAGGATAAATGCTCATGTATGCTTTCATGGTTTTGTTTGCTTGGATCCGTGATGGCAAACCTTTTTACCCGTGCATGTTTAAATTTCTTTTTTACAAAATCCTGTTAGTGGTGTGTCATTGCTGCCACGATATTTTATCATGTCTTTCAAAATCTAAACCGCAGTTAATGCTCTGATAGGTTACTATTTTGTGAGGTGTTATCAGTCATATGATATTAAGACAATACTACTAATGGCTAAGCTTCACAATTGTATGTAAGAGTTGAAATATTCTTTAAAAACCTCCAGTTGTCACAGGGATGTGCCCACGCCGGGTGGCACCGGGCGCTTGCGATCGGCACTATTTTTTGCCGCCCAGCACAAAGTAAAAATCAAAGAAAGCTGCCCAGTCGTATTTAAACCCCTTTGTCCTTCTCTGTACATAAGCTCAGCGCTTGAAATATACCACGGCAAACGGCAAAGCCATAGTAAAAGCCGACGCAAACCATGTCTGCCACGGCATAATTTATTTTTGTGTGCCGTAGTAGACCCTATCATCCCAAATTAGTTTAAAGAAAGAAGTATTGGTATTTTGTTTATATATATTTAGAAGTTGTGTAGGTCTATTCATTTAACAATTTTACGGTCTTTAAATTTATATATTTGCCGTAAATAGGTCACCCAGACCAATTTACGTCACTCCAATGTTAAAGGTTTGGATGTTGTAAATGATGTCGTACTTTCGGTTTTACGATCAATTTTTAATGTACTCATTCTACCGTTAATTCTACCGAATCTGAACTAAATCCTAGAGACAGCTGGGCTACAGTCCATTTTATGTACACTTGCCACAAAAAAATAAATTAGGCGGCAAGACGGATGTACTGTTTTACTTGTTCACTAAAGACCACACCCCCCTCCCAAAGAAATTTTTTCCTCACTCCGCTCGGTAGCTATTTTTTCCACCACTCAGCAAATCCTGGGCACATCCCTGTTGTCACCAAACAACCAATGCTGTGTCATAGAATGGCCATCACTGGTCTAAATCAATATCTTAGTACTTACATTTAAGTTAAACTCAACTTTTAGTGATGTTGTGATATTTACTTTATGTTTGCTTTTCTCCCCACCCATCCTCATTTATTGTTGTTTGGTTGTAATGCTTGTTTGTTTCAACATCACATTGAGAAATTTTGCTAATAATATAATAATACTTTTTGTGTTTAAGAGATCTATTGTTGTTTTTAAGCAAAGCAGGAAAATGTCATTTATTTTAAACAAAAAGTGTACAATGTACATATGTCTAGGTGACCTTTTATATGAAATCAGGATATTATTCATTTAAAATATTATCGATAAGAAAGGGAATTTGTAATTAATGCCATTCACATGCACTATTATGAATATTAGCATGTCAAATAAATTCGATTGTTTAGTTTTCTTAGAAAAATTAACATTTTTGTTTGTATTGGTACTGTACTAAATTTAATAATTATAAACTAATCTGACTAATCATTTAAAAATAATTACTTTAAAAATTTTACTAAAAAAAACTAGACCCAAATTTTCTAATTGCTTTATGTCAACCTAATCAAAGTGCTGTTCAGATTCTGGCTTGCTTAGATTACACTTATGACGTTTTTTTGGGTTTTTTTTCAAAACTTGCTGTGATTGTTCAGCTTGTAGTAAAACTCTCTGGAAATTCAGGGTCATGCTTTGATTTTATGCTGAGTTATTGTAACTAAATCCTTGCGTGTAAAATGGTCACCATACATAATATACAATACAGTATAGTACTCAATAGATCCAAGTAGATATAATAATAATAAAAAGTAAAAAAATTAAACTGTAAATAAATAAGAACTACATTAAAAAATCAAAGACAGTGAAAATAAAGTGAAGCAACATGATAACAATTCTCAGCTTTACGAACACAGGAAACTAAATGTAACTGAAGTTTTTTCACTATGAATCAATCCAAACTGATTGCTAAGCTAAACTGTGACAATGGTACACTAATTCTGCATGTATAAATGTGAATTTTTATACACCCACATTGAAATGTATATTTTCATTAACCCGTCTGTTGGTCCGTCGTCCACAATTGTTTGTTGAGGCTCTCGGTCTTGGGGCTATCATGCAGTTGGCTTAAAGATCACGAGAAGATATATCCTATAGATTTTTATACACCCGCATTTTTATGTGGGCGGAGAATGTCGTTGCCGCTGTCCATCCGTCTGTCCGTCCACAATTTGCTTGTGGACAGTATATATACAGCACAGGTCACAATTTTTATCCGATTTTTACGAAACTTGAAATATAGGTCTATCTCTCAAAGATCTTGGTTACTTTCGATATTGGCATGTATAGGACCATAACTTTATGGATTATGGCCCCTGATTGTACGAAAAATCACGTTTTTAGCTTGTGGACACTCTAGAGGTCACAATTTTGATCTGACTTTTATGAAACTTGAAATGCATGTTCATAACCCAAAGATCTTGGTTTCTTTCGATATTCAAGCATGTTGGATCGTAACTTCCTGAATTATGGCCCCTGATTGTACGAAAAATCATGTTTTTAGCTTGTGGTCCCTCTAGAGGTCACAATTATTATCCAATTTAAAAAAACGTTTGAATATATCACCGTAATGTTGTTCGAGTTCAAATTTCGTGAAAATTGGACCAAAACTATGAGACAAAATTGCCGCTCCTTGTATGCAAATAGTGTAAAAGTATGTAACAACAAAGTTGTGGACACTCTAGAAGTCACAATTTTTATCCGAAATTGATTAAACACGAAATGTATGTTAATAATCCAAAGATTGTGGTTCCTTTTGATATTCGCGCATATCAGACTGTAACTTCCTGGATTATGGCCCCTGATTGTACGAAAAATCACATTTTTAGCTTGTGGCCCCTCTAGAGGTCACAATTTCTATCCAATTTTAAAAAAATGTTAAAATTGTCTGTGGATTTGTCCTTGATCAATTTGAAAATCTTATGGTTGCTCTAGAGGTTTTACGTAAAAATTTATACACAGTGTTTATGTTCATGAGACAAAGAAAGTTTATTTTATTTTCAGTGATTTCCAGTAACTTGGTCAGTTGAAAGTATCTGATTATTGGTACATGTTCATTATGAAGAACTAAAAGTCAATCAAATTTCAATTATTTCTGATAATTACTTCATGGGTTGTTATTCTTGATCAGTTTTTAGTGCTCCCTTGACCTACAAACAATATATATACAACAACCTTTCTGTAACCTCTCTAATGACTTTGCTGTTGTGTTCGTATTTTTAGTTCCTGGATTTAAACAGATACTGTTAATATCATTCTATTTACATCTTGTATATTATAATTTATGTCATGTCATATATTTGAATGTGAAAACATCAATTCTGTAGACTTATGTGTTAGTTTATTTTCAGGACACGAATATGTGAGGAGTCACTCTCATGACCCAAGCATGCAGTCCACAAACACATTTTCTATACCTGTCCTTGAAAGAGGTATCTCTTTACAAAGACTTTTCTCTCTCTTATGTGATATAATTAATAAATATTACTCAACTATATTCTCACTCAGAGGACGTTTTACACTGTTACTTTTCATTTCTGTATCATTTAATTTTATCTCACTATTCAAAATCAACATATCTTACAAATTGTTAAACAGTATGCCAATGAAACAAATTAATTTATAATAAGATTATGAATAAGAATAATCATTTTGTTTTACAATATCCACTAATAGAGAGAAATGTCTCAATGTTTTCCTAGAATTAGACATTTATATATGTATGGGTTATGTCTGTAGGAGATTGATCGATATTCATTTCCTCTCCCCTTCCTCCTTTTATTTTTGCACTGTACCATACTGTCTCAACAAATGAGCACATTTTTAATGTTTAATGTGTGAATTTTAAATCATTCACAAATACTATGACAATTAAAAACCCTGTTGTGTGAATTTTAAATCATTCACAAAAACTATAACAGAATTAAAAACTTTGTTTAGGGATAAAATTGTTGTTTTTAGCTCCAACCCGTATTGTATCCCCTTTGAATACTATAAATATTATTACTCTTGACAAAATAGCGCCAAATTTATCGAAATATTATGAGAGGAAAAATATGTGGTTGGATATTCAAGTGGTCTAACGCAAGTGCTTTAGATCATATTCATAAGGTCCTTCACTGAGCCAAGTGGTGTGGTTTTGATCCCAAACTTGAATGTAGTTGCCTGTCCAACCTCTTTGTTTTCTCTGGGTCCTCCGGTTGCCTACTACTGCTAAAGAACCCTACTACTGCCTTCAACCAAATTTTTTTGAGATAGAATAAAACCATATTATAGTCTCGAAATGACCACGTTGTGTCAGGTGGACGTTATACCATATTTCTCTATATATATATTTGTCGTAGTTGGAGAGGTGACAATTTGAACTGGTGTGAATGAGAATGGGTTGGAGTGTTGTGTGTCTTTGATGTTGCTTTAGTCTGGTGTGTCGTAGTTCTATGTATTACTATATTAGATATGTAGATTTTGTGTACACTTTTGTTCTACTGTCAGCTTTATCATAGCATGTAACCAAGCTATTTTTGTCTTAATTTGCTATGGCTTTGGTTTGTGACAGATCTGCAGAAAAGTAGAAACCCAATTAAATTCATTCATTGTGACAGATACATGGTGACTTAGTTCAGCATCATGAATCCAGTTGATCAAGTCCAATTTTGCATCTTTTTAAGTATAAAAATCTATTGGTATTAAAGATTGACTGTGTCTCATTGTTTTGTGTATGATCTTCCAGTACCAGAGGAAGGGGAAGATTCGTATGATCCCAATATCCTGGATGATCCTGACTTACAGTTTGATTCTACTAAAAAGACCATCCAATCTCAAATGGTAAAAATATTAGATTTTGTATTGGAAAATTGTGATTTGAATTGATTTAAAATATTATTTTATTGTAAAATGAAAAAGTTTATCTTGTGAACCTTAAAGATACATTATGTAAGATTTTGATAAAGAGCTGACCATTCTTGATGTAAGAGCTCAAAAATAAACAATGTAAAATGAAAATATTGAAAATTTCATTCAAATTACTTCATTCTGAGCCAAGTTATCACTGTTTGTAGTTTTGACTAGATGTGTGCATTATGGTAATCAGGGCACTGGTATATTTGAGACTTAGCCTTGCTCTGGCATTTTTGAATTAAATTTTTAAATGGCGAACCGTTTTAATCTAGTTAAAATCTTGAGTATCTGATGCCATCGAGAGTTGATTATGGTCTTGTTTTGTTAGTAAATGTCTAATTAATGATTTATATAACATTTCAGGCCTAAAGAAAGACCTGCAATAGGCAGATTTAGCTCTTGCATAATGTATGTTTAAAGATAGATCAAGGGCTGGCCGTTCTTGCTATAATATAGTTCAAAAAAAGATAATGAAAAATGAATTGAAAATTTCAGTCAAATTACTTTAATGAAATTCTGATCAAAGTTATGAGTGTTTAAGGTTTTGTCATGAAATAGCTGATTGTCAAGTTCCATTGCAGGGATAAACAACAAAGTCTTAAATGTCAGTCCTTTTATTGAGTCGCATCCATTTTAATGTTAAACGTTTATATAGCTTTGATGGTCTAATCCATTTAATATCTCAGACATCCAATTGTCAAGAGAGCTGATTGTTGGCTGATCATGTGATTAAATGTCCTGCAATAGGACGATTTAGCTCTTGCATAATGCATAGATTTAAAATTAAACATTGTAAAAATATGAAGCTTTGAAGTTCTATTGCAGGGATAAACAACAAAGTCTTAAATGTCTGTCCTTTTATTGAGTGGCATCCATTTTAATGTTAAACGATTATATAGCTTTGATGGTCTAATCCATTCAATATCTCAGACATCCAATTGTCAAGAGAGCTGATTGTTGGCTGATCATGTGATTAAATGTCCTGCAATAGGACGATTTAGCTCTTGCATAATGCATAGATTTAAAATTAAACATTGTAAAAATATGAAGCTTTGAAGTTCCATTGCAGGGATAAACAACAAAGTCTTAAATGTCTGTCCTTTTATTGAGTGGCATCCATTTTAATGTTAAACGATTATATAGCTTTGATGGTCTAATCCATTCAATATCTCAGACATCCAATTGTCAAGAGAGCTGATTGTTGGCTGATCATGTGATTAAATGTCCTGCAATAGGACGATTTAGCTCTTGCATAATGCATAGATTTAAAATTAAACATTGTAAAAATATGAAGCTTTGAAAATACATAAATTTTGGAAAATTCCTAATGTCAAATAAGCTTCTTTTATTTGTTTTGTTATAGTCATCAGTTATATCATCTTTAAAGCCATCTTATGTAAAGAAAGAACTCAATGAGAAATTTAGAGATAGATTTCCCAACATACAGCTTACGTTGACCAAACTTAGAAGGTAACATGGATTCTTTTGTTAAATTTATATTTTCTGTTTTAATTCTGTATGTGTTGTGCACCTGTATTGTTTGTTCTGTTTGCATTTTGTTGTACAATCAACAACTTGGATTAATTTTGCAGAGTTTCCTAGTATTTAACCATCGTCTAATTATGAATTGCCCAATACATTTTGGATCTAATATGGAAGATATTTGGATTTCAAAAACTCGAAACTGTCCTTTACAAAATATACAAGTTTACTTTGCATTTCACCATCCTTTAAATTGAATTGCATAATAGGTTTTGATAAAGTTTCACAAATGTCTAATATGGATTTCCGAAGCTTGAAGCTGCCATTCTACTAAATATATAAACCTCCATCTATTTTTATAACTGGTATATTTTTTTGACAGGTTACTTTTGTCAGTAATCCAGTGGGAGCACATGTTATATAAGAAGTCTTGCCCATTGATATATTTTTTTGTTGTCTAGGTTATGTCATCTCCGTAGAATAGAACTTGAATGTATTACAATCATACCTTAGTTGGAAGTTTAACTAGGCTACTGGATGTTAGTAGGATATATAGCATAGTGACATAATATAAAATTTAATATTTTTGTTTCAGTTTGAAGAAAGAGCTTCTGAATATTGCCTACACAAAGGTAAATTTTAAAAAATCAAAATAAAATGATAAAAGCTTATTAATGGAAACAATTTACTTTTATTTTTGAAAGATATAATTTTCTTACAATTTCTTTCGATTAAATTGTAAGAAATTTGAAAGTGATATTTATTTGTTTTTATTATTACAGTGTGGTGTTGATCTCTGGACCATTGCTCAAGCTTATGTTTTCTTTGAAAAAATCATTTTAAAGGTAATATATTATAGTTATTAATAATAGTTATTAATAACATTGAATTGGGATGGATTCTTGGGAAAAGTTGCTGTTAATGGATGTTGACTTGATCCTTATTCATCAATCCAATCCTGAAAAGAATTTGGTGCTTCTCCTTTTTCGTACTGTTTATCAATCCAATAAAAGTGATTAAAAACTTAATCTACGTGATTAGTTTCTCCATTGTCGGACATTTTATTCTCCTATCTGTTTGTCAGAGTTTTTTGGGCACAAAAACTCTTCTTCTAATTGTACTAGAATGTTTAAACTCGGTGTAGGTGTTTATTAGGTCAATGCCTTGATGGAGTTCGCGGATGAGCATTTTCTGCTTAGGGTAAGCAGAGATAAGCAATTTGCTTGGTTGATGCTTTGGGACACGATAACTTTAGTTTTAATTAAGTGAGAGAGATGAAACTTGGTGTATAGTTTCATTACATTCATACCTTGACTAAGTTCGATAACAAGCATTTTCTGCTCATTGTAAGCAATTTGATTGGTCGAGACTTTGGAGCACAATAACTCTCCTTCGAATTGAGGTAGAATGTTCAAATTTGGTGTAGGTGTTGATTAGGTGACAGCCTTGATGGAGTTCAAAGATGAACATTTTCTGCTTAAAGGGTATGCAGGATTTTCATTGGTTGATGCTTTGGGACCTGATAACGTTGGTTCTAATTAAGTGTGAGTGATGAAACTTGGTGTAGGCTATAGTTTTATCACATCAACACCTTGACTAAGTTTGATTATCAGGGCAGGCTTCGAAATTAGCGGACGCAAAAAGCATGCTAAAATATGACAATAGCGTGTTAGATTTGAACTATAACGCAAAGTTTTACATCTACGGTAATTTAGTTTAAAAAGCAAATTTTAAAACTTGAGTTTTTCAATAGCTTAATTCTCTGAAAATTTTAATGAATATAGACTCACTTTCCTTTAACAAACTCTGAGTCTCAACAAAGAGACCGGATATAATCAGCCACGCGTAGCTGAAGGAACGAAATAACAATCTGTCACCTTCCCGACAAATAATACATGCAAAACTGAAACCATATATTATTGACCAAGACGGCAAACGGGCCATTTCACTCGGTTTATTACATAACATAAAAGATATTTGTAGTTGAAGCTAATAAACTACTTCTGGTGATCTAATTCTGGCTTCCATTAATAAAAATGTCCAAGCAAAATATTGAAATAGCATCCCAGGTTTATACACACTATATTAGTACTGTAGATTAATATTTGTAATTTATGTATTTTAGCATTTGGTGAATAAAACAAATCGCAAGCTTAGTGCTGCAGCTTGTATGTTTTTATCAGCTAAGATGAATGATGTTAAAGGCCCGGAAATAGAAAAACTTCTTGAGGTAGGGTTAATTCAGATTCATATTCAATAACCTTCTACTTTATAAAAACAGTTATTTTATTCTCCATAATTGTAGTAAGAATTGATTGATTTGAATACATTTTCACCCAAAATCCTTTTGATAAAAGTAGTCTACTATTGATTGTTTGTGGTCTTAAACTCTACATGTATATTGAAACTTTTTTACAGCATGTTGGGCCTTTAAAGATTTCATGAATATTTACAAAATATTTCTTATTATTTAGACACTGGAAGATGACTTCAGATTACACAGAAAAGAAATGATGTCATTTGAATTTGCTGTCTTAGTAGCTCTTGAGTTTTCTTTGTTAACCCCAGACAACGAAATTTACCCCCACTATCAAAGATTATTGGAGAAATTATAGCAAAAAGTGTAACAGAATTCAGTATATGGCAATTCTTACTTCACTTCTTACAAAACAAACTGCTGGTTACCAACAATTTGTATCCTGATATTTTAGTGTTTAATTAGCACAGAAAATCAAAGATTTTGTTTAGTTAATATTTATTCTTTCCTTCTTAATTTATATTTTTGAGATAGATATTATTTTATGAGCCCACATTTATGTGTGGGCATATTATGTCGTCGCCTCTGTCCATTGGTCCGTCAACTCAATTCGGGAGGTACCCCCACTTTTCTGAACACCCTGATAACGTGATCAGTTTTAACAGAATTTTTTTTTTAATTTGGTGTGATGCATTGGGGGTTACATGATGGAAGCTGTATTTTTTTTTAATGAATTTGTTGAGAAGCATTAGGATTGAGCGGATGAATCGTATTGATTTTCCAAGGATGAACTATGTTCCCTGTTGATTTTCATCATTCTAGGGTTTTCTATTCCAGAGATGTTTATGTATCCAGAAAAGCATGTGAACTCGATAGAAATAAGATTTTTTGAAGGTATAGAAGGATCTTTACCAATGCATCCAAATTTTCCTTTTGGATAAGCTGTTGTCTATGGCTATCGTTTTTTTCGAGACATAAATGCTGTGTCGGTGTATTTCTACGTGGCTATCTTTTTTTAAAATTTTAAACAAAAAAAACAACATTATTTCAGGAACATTTTGAAATTGCTTTGAAAAATTGAGTCATTATTGACTGACCAAAAATATGCTATCTATTTGATTGTTTAATTTTAATCAGTCTCATGCTTATTCTACTGGATGAAAATTAGTTTTTATTTGTAAAGTTCATGGATGCAAAAACAGTTGTTTGAATTTGATATTTTTTATTTTTTTTATTTGTGATTCATTTAATTAAATTTAATAAGACTACCGCCATCTTCAATTTTAATTAATGCTGCTTAAATTTTTAGTTTGACATCTAAATCATTGTAGTAATTAACAACTGCCATGTTCAATATTGAGAGAATACACTTGTGATTATTATTTTTTTATATATTTATTTTGAGCATTTATCTACCGGTAATTTGATTATTAATGTATACTATAAGTTATATGAGTTTAGAGTCATATTTAAACCTTTACATTGATATTAGTATATACTGGTACATGTATGTATAAATCCTATTACTATTAGACAATGTGTAAGTCTATTTGAATTTTTTTTTTTCATTTTGATTTTAATTATCATTTGCTTACATGAACATCTATTTACTTGTCTGCTACGTTTGTTGATTAATAGTGTTCTTATATAAGAGAAGTTGTTGACTAGATAATAGGTCCTTTGAGATCAACTGAACAGAACTTCTTAAATATGTTGTATACTGTACTGTTAATATAACAAGCATGAACATACTATGGACCAGGAATCAGGTATGATAATGTATCAGCCATCTTGGAATAGTGACGTCCTATCAAAAATCTAAGGAAGAAGCATGCCATGTTTCATGTTGATAAGACTTGAATTGGCTTGTTTCGAAGAACATTGTCCCCAAGAAAAACATTGAGTTCCTGGTACAAAAACTGAAAAGGAAAATACAGTCAAGTTTTAATTTAGACTAATGTTGCAATTGATGTCTATATAAACCAAATACTACTCATGAAACATTGTGCATTACCAAATTGAATCCATGTTGATTGAATGGGCCAAATAAATACAAATATATGGTGTTACTGTATTAATTATTTGATTTGAAATCGTTGATGATCTCATATATTATACATGTATTTTATTTTTGCTTTAAAAAAATTAATCTTCACAATATATTATCTGTGAACCCTGTTGAATACAGTGGCTTACCTCCCTTGTTGATTTACTCTGTCTCTGCAAATCAGCTGTAGTCTTGATTGTTCCATCTTAAATTGTGTCTGCTTCAACTGCAATGAATATTGATCGGAACAAATTAGTGTTTGTATTCTACGGAATCAAAGGTCATACAGAAATTCTTGTATATGTTTTCTGTTGAGACAAAATGCAATATTTCCTCCCAAGTAATTATGTGAATTGTAGACGTGAGCAGCCAGTTACCAATATACACAACAGACAATGTTTTGTCTAGACCAATATTACGGGGAACGATTAAGATGAATAAGTCTGGTTACTTTTATATCAAATACTCTACGCTTTCTGGGAGTAGTCACAACAACCAGACCACTGATCTTGTCTGGTTTTCAAAAAATTATAGTCATATCAGTAGAACAAGTTAATTGATGAGCCAAGGTATATATATATATATATATATATATACATGTAGATATTTATTCATAGTTGACAGCCAAAGTCGGTAAATCTGTCCAAAACATATTTTTATGCTGTAAAACAAGAAATAATGCTAATAGAGCGAAGCCTCTTTGATTTAGTTCAAGATATAGTGTTGAATTAAGTTGATCAGATTATTTTGAGACTCTATTATTTTAGTTGCAAAATACAATGCAAAAGTCACTAATTTAATCTCATTTTTTACATTAATTGTTGACAGTGAACACAAAATTACTTTTATTTTAACAATGTTTTTTTTTCTGTGAGACCTGAACTGTTAAATGTACACAGATATCCACTTTGCAAAGCAAAGCAACCCACTACACCAACTGATTTAAATCAACACATTTTATTTTGAACCAAATCCGGTTTAGTCATTGTAAATTTTAGTAGTGTCATTGGGTTACATGATGTGAAAAATTCTTTGAAAAATAACAAAAGGAGCTGAAGGACATTCCTAGTTTTACAGTACAATATGTTAAATAATAGTCATTTCTTTGTGCCATTATATTTATTATTTTATCTGCACTCATACTCATCCAATTTAAGAAATGGGTTTACCAAAAATGAAACTTTATGATTTCTTCCAAATGCTCTTATGTTATTTTTTTGTTTGTAAAGTATTTGTCTACGCCAATATTTTATTTGGGAGTTGCTTATATTGATTGATCTCCTGTGTTTAAGATGAGATTTATTTGCCGAGTTACATATAAGGGCTGACAGAAATATGTTACATTTATATTATGAGTTTATGATTATTTACATATGTATGTCATGTATATTATTCAAGGTATTATATACTCTTCAAAAAAAGTAAGGGATATTCAGAAACAATACAAAACTGCGGAAATGCACTGCTGTTTTTATTAGAGGTAACGAGTGTATGTTAATAACAGGCCAATTGTCTACACATGAACAAAAACGTTCAGTAGGGCGGCTTATCTGACGGCCCCATTTCACTCGCAAAGAGATACACTGTCAAAAGTGAAATGGACGTTTTTGATTTTTGTCTTAATAATGAGTAATTGCTCCACCAATCCTCAGACATTCAGCAATGCGTCGTGGCAGGCACCTAATAAACCGTCTAATCACGATTTAGGGCAATCTGACCCACTCCTCTTGCAGTGCCACGGCCAATTCTTGCAGTGTTGTCGGTTGACGTTGACGTCGACGAACACGTCTCCCGATCATGTCCCAGACATGCTCTATATATAGGGGAAAGGTCAGGACTCATGGCTGGCCAAGGCCTATGGACAATATGGTGATGCTGGAGGTCGTCATTCCTGACACGAGCACAGGCATTTTCATCTTGAAAGATGAAAAGTCAACCTGCACGTTGAGCAAATGTTCTCATCTAAGAACATTACACACGCAATAGACGATTACCCCAATTTCTACGCTGCCTACACCATTGATGCTCGTTTGCCATATGCTGGCGAGTTAATGGAGGCACATCACACGGTCGTCGCGCATGCAAAAGGGCTGCATGTAGCCGATTTCTAATCGTTTGGGGTGTAACTCGAATTCCTGTTACTTGCTACAAGTTTACAGAAAGCTGATTGGCCGTTTGTCCTCGATTTCGCAGGACCTGTGTACGAATGTATCGAACCTGGGCTTGTGTAATGGCTCTAGGACAACCTGAATGAGGTCTATTATCAACATTGTGTGTTTGTTGGTACCGGTTCCACAGTCTGCTGATCACAGACTGTGACACATTAAGCATGTTGGCTACTGCTCGCTGCGTAGAACCCATTTGAGGTATGCCAATAGCACGTATATGTTCATCATGTTGAAGACGTCTCATTGCAAATTAAACGTAACACACTAAAGCAAAGATATGCTAAACAGTAAATCTTATGCAAGAACCGATAGGAAAGCAAACATGGATAGGATAAACCAGCATGTGGCAGTTTTCATCAACTCTTCCTTGAAGTGTCAAATTTGACAATGAACCCCTCCCACGTGTATGGCGCTATTACGTGTCGTAAGTGCAGCTCAGTGGTTCTGTTGGGGCGATAAGTTCTTCATCTGTGAACATACCCTCAAAGCATGTCAAGTGTCCATGACTATTTATCATATCACAACCTGCATAGGTATTTGCATTTCAATATCCCCTACTTTTTTTGAAGAGTATATTAAACCAATACGAAATCAGTTTATTATCCTATAGGTAAAACTGCTTATAATATTGCATTTTGTAAACTGCTAATATTATGTAGAATAAAATATTTGACAATGGTTTGTCTATAGCTTACTGCTTTTGTACATATTGATTCGACCAATTGTTTTGTTGTAAATAGCACCTCTGTATCAAAATTGTCTTTGGAATCACAGATTTATCAAACCTTAAATTACAAATATTGATACATTTAAGATCTTTTTTTATGTACATAAATACAAGAATGATAAGCTAAAGGTGCTAAACCTCTTCGATTTAGGTCAAAATAAAAATATTGAATGGGCTAAAGTGATGTATGTAATGTTCCGATTAGTGATGTGTCTAGCACAATGAAAAAATTATTGCTTCAAAAGCTCACTGTTTTGACATAGGAGAAACAATTGATTGTATTTCAACATTAGCTTTATCATTTCACATAAAAGATTTTGATAGAAAACAGATCGTCATCCCACAAAACCAATCAACAATGAAATTGACAATTTTATTTTATTTTTGACCTGAATCTAAGAGGAAGTGCCATTGTAAAGCAGTTCACAAATAAAAACAATGAATATATTTTATTTTTGCATCCAATGTAAAGTATAAAATCTGTTGCATGTATGTATTGTATCTCAGATATTTAACGTCTCTGTCTTAAGTCTACTGCAAATAAATAGAGATAGAGGGACTGGGTCAAGTGTATATCCATTTTTATATGCTCACATGGAAATGTGGACGTATATTGCCGTCACCCCCGTCCGTCCATCCGTTGTCTACAATTTCTTGTGAACGCTCTAATGCCAAAAGTTATGATCCGATTGTTTTAAAATTGATATATGTTGTTGACATTAGTGAGTTGAAGAACCCTATTTAATTTCAATAATTTCCATTTATTACATCTAGAGTTATGGCCCTTGTTTCATATTGTTGGACCTTGTGAACGCCAAAAGTTATCATCCGATCTTTGTGAAATTTATATGCATTATTTAAATTAGTGAAATGAAGAAGTCTATTGAATTTCAGCAATTTTCATTTATTACGTCTAGAGTTATTGCCCTTGTTTCACTTTATTGGACCGTGTGAATGCTCGAACGCCAAAAGTTATCATCCGATCTTTGTGAAATTTATATGCATTATTTGAATTAGTGAAACGAAGAAGCCTATTGAATTTCAGCAATTTCCCATAATTACTTCTAGAGCTATGGCCCTTGTTTCACTTTGTTGCACCTTGTGAACACTTTAATATCTAAAGTTATCTGCCAATCTGTATGAAATTTATATTTGTCATTTAAATTACTAAAAAGAAGAATCTTATTGGATTTCAGCAATTTCTGTTTATTACGTCTAGAGTTATGGCCCTTGTTTCACTTTGATGAACCTTGTGAACGCTCTAACATCAAAAGAAGTTATCTGCCGATCTGTATGAAATTTATATGCGCCATTTAAATTAGTAAAAAGAAGAATCCTATTGAATTTCAGCAATTTGTGTTTATTATGTCTAGAGTTATGGCCCTTGTTTCACTTTGTTGAACCTTGCTAATGCTTGATTGATGAAAGCTAATGCCAAAAGTTATCATCTGATCTGTATAAAATTTATATGCATCATTTAGCAATTTATGATAATTACTTCTAGAGTTATGGCCCTTTTTTCACTTTGTTCAACCTTGCTAATGATCGATTGATGAAAGTTATCATCCGATATGTATGAAATTTATTTGCATCATTTAAATTTGTGAAACGGAGGTCTATTGAATTTCAGTAATTTCCGTCATTTATTTCTAGAGTTATGGCCCTTGTTTTACGTTGTGAACCATGTGAACGTTCGAATGACAAAAGTTATCATTCGTTCTGTATGAAATTTGTATGCATTATTTAAATTAGTAAAACAAAAAATCCTGTCATTCAAAATTTTCTGTAAATTACTTCCAGAGTTAAGGCTCTTGTTTCAGTTTGTAGAACCTTGTGAACCCTCAAACGACAAAAATTATATTCTGATCTGTATGAAATTGTCTTGTAAATTAGTAAAACGAAAAATCCTGTCATTCAAAATTTTCTGTAAATTACTTCCAGAGTTAAGGCTCTTGTTTCAGTTTGTAGAACCTTGTGAACCCTCAAACGACAAAAATTATATTCTGATCTGTATGAAATTGTCTTGTAAATGCCCCCAATTACCTACAAAAGAATAAATATGCGACAACCTTTGTCGACCGCTCGAACGATTTAGCTGCTGTAGGTGGGCGTATGTTTTGTTGCCTGGCAACCTATTTTACACAATAACTATTGTTCTCAACTTGAGAATAAAATTGTACTTATCCATTGATCATTCACATTAAGCTCTGTTCAATTTGACTCCTTCCATCTGGTTGTATCCATTTAAGGCATGGACCAGTACAATTAAGTAATTGGACGTGTAACAAGCCCACCCTTTTCTTCGTAAACATTTACTTGTATCAAGAATGATGAAAGCTTGTTAATAAGCTTTTATGGCTAAAACTTCTGTGATATTTTGTGAATGAGAGTTGCTAGTCAAATGGTACCCAAATATGATTTGCTTACAGATATGTATGGTTGTTTATGATTGTTTGCAGAACTGTTTGATTTCAAAACTAAATCAAAAGTGTTCAAAGAAAAAGTTGTCATTGCTTTTGGAAAAGAATTGTCAATTAGAGTAATATGACCTTACAGCACTTTGAAGATGGATGAATAAGTAGTGTATTTTTATGTGCAGTTTAAATGTTATTTGATACATGTATTATTAAACCTATCATAATTCAGTTAGTTTAATATATTAGGATTTTGGGGGAGTTAGTGTGATGCTATGAAAGAATGGATTAGTGTTGTATAATTACAATTTATGATATTGTGTTTGATGTATAGGTTGTGATAGAAGGTGATACAAGTGTAAATAAAACAGTACATATTAATACATATTATACAAGACAATTACCTACTTTAGTAGATAATATACCATAGACATATACTATGTAATATGTTAAATAAAATTCTGGTATAAAATAAAGAGTATTCGCAAATAAACTGTACTTCCTTTTGTTACTAGAACATGACATATTTGAGGTTCAAATTAACACTCTGTGTTCCCAGAAATTGTTTAATCCCTGGGTAGGTTCATATAGAACAAAATATGATTTTAGCAAGTAAATTTGATGTATAAATAGAAATGGGCTTGTAGACTTAAAGGAGCTAAATCGCTATATTTGGGATCTAGAAATTGACACAAATGGGTCGCAACGCATATATAATGTAATATGAATGTATATAAACTGATTTACATTCAATCGTTTCTGTTTTACAGAAATTTCTAATCAGTTATGTTCGGCGAAATACGCCAGAAGTCTCAATCGAATGGCAATCTCTTATAGCATCTGGTTATTCCAATCTATACCGATGGTATTCATTTTGCATGCTCTCCAGATAAGAATATGACGTCACTGTTTGACATAACTTGTGGAATATATCTAGCCTCATTATTCGAGTCCATTGTTACAAATGGCGCTGAAACGCATTATGGTACACGATTCGTGTACCAATAGTAAAAGGTTTATTTTGTCTTAAATACTGGATATAAGAAGCCCATCTTTTCCTAAGATCACAACATCAATGTTGATTTAAATTGACAAATAAATCGTGTTTTCAATCTCAAAGACTCTGCATGATATTGGGTTTAGAGACTTTGCTACTTTAAGAAGCGTATTACCAAAAAAGCCAAGACTCTGCATTTGATAGAAAAATTTAACATACGCCCGTATGGTCGCTCCGTCATTCATAATTTCATGTCAACATTGTACAGATTACATTTATTGTTCAATAGTTTAATAAACCTTTGTTTACATTAGTGACTTGAAAAAGCTTATTAAATTTCAGCAAATTCCACCAATAATTTCTTGACTTTGCAATAAAATTTCTCACTAGATCTGATAGAAATTTATATGCGTTGTCAGATCAGAGAACCGAAAAATTATGTTATATAATACAGTACAAAAATTGAGCTTGGCAACATTGAAAACTGGTTTCCCATCCAATGGTCATCCACACTTTCTTGTGAACACTGTATAGAATACATTTATCATCTGATATAAATTTATATATGTTTACATTAGTGAGATGAAGAATCCTATTAAAATTCATTAATTCTGAAAATAGCCTCCCAAGTTATTACCCTTGATCACTTTGAAGAATCTTGAGAACCCTCCGGTGACAACAGTTATCATTCAATCTGATTGAAATTTCTATGTCTTGTAAAACTAGTGAGATGCAGAAGTGTGTTGGATTTCAGCAATTTATGTGACTTGTGCGCTTTGTGGCCCTTCGTCACTTTGTAGAATCTTTTGAAGGCTGTAGACAAAAGTTATCATCTGATCTGCTTGAAACATCTGGTAACTGGTAATTGTAGTCTAATCATATATCATTTTCTTTCAGAAGTATTTCCCCCATTTATGAGAACTGGCCATGTTAAATATTATTTCACTGAACCAGTTCTACTATGAAGGCCTGATGCATTTTGCAATAAGGTTAATATCCTCTCAGAGTAATAGAAGGAAATGTGGTCCGGTGATACCATTAGGTTAACTAGGCTGCTGGCTAGGATTCCAGAACTGGAGGGGCACAGTAATGACTTTTGAGAATCACAGTTTTGTAAATATTTAATTGAATAATCAAAGACTGATGTGCTCAGGCCCTTAGCTTGGGGTGAGACGATTTACCCAATACTACCCAATACCACCCCAATACCACTACAATATAACCACATACTACCTAATACTCCAACATAATGATGTAAACTGTGCATATCAATTGAATTTTTTTTAAAATAATTAGTTATAGCGCGGGAATTGTACTTTAAATGCGATTACCGATCTCTGGCTGTTCCATTTGCCTCCCTATATCAACCAAAACAAGTAAAAACTAACCCAATACTACCACATACTACCCAATTTTATCAATTAACAACCTAATATTTTCAAATAGCAGCACATTAGTATAATTACTGCAGCGAATATTCTATAATTTGCAGAAAAATGGAATGTTTGCGCAGTTATCTCCCTTTACAGCCGATAAATTGCTATCCAGATTAATCATCTTCTTTTGCTTTGCAGTGGGTTTCCAAGAGGACGAAGTTAAAATAAGAAAAACGAGTATTTTGTTGTGTATATTTTAATCATTATATATAGTTAACTACTGTATTATTATATAAGATGGCCGTCAGTCTATAAATAACTATTTCAACCCCTCCATGGGTATCGTCAGGCGGTTCCCATGTTTGCGTGGTTCGGAACCATCTCCAAACAAGTGCGATATCTCAACTCTACTGAAAGAGATTCGCACCCTATCAGCAGCGTTGAGACTGCATTGAAGAGACAATCCCTATCGCCCGTAGATTTTACTGCATTGACATTGGTTTCTTTGGTATACTGCCTCAATAATTTGTCAGCTACTTCGTCAACAGGAATTCTGTTGGTACTATTGTAGGGGATAAATCGACACGCCTCCCTTTGTGAATTAGCATCTCTCATCTGCGACACTTCTCAGTTTGTCAACACTGTGATTTGCGGCCTGAAAATAAAATACAAAGCCTTACTTTCACTAATCTGCTTAAACACTTACAGCTCTGTCGGTTTCTTTGATGATCAAGCACAACAAAACTTGATTAGCCAATCAACAATCTTATTTCCATAATCCTTATAAGACATATATAGGTAGATTTCACAAATAAAAATTTGCTTGATAACGATATCTGTATGTGTATCGAAACGTAGCATTTTAATAAATTCAGAAGTAGTATATCCATATAAGTGTTTTTAATTTTAATCTTATTTCCGTTGATTAAGTGATAAGTCAGGTGGAATGTATTTACGAGTAGAGCATTACACATTTGTAATAAACATGTGCAATTTCGTTAATGTTTAATTTATAAATAACCATCATCCATTACGTAAATATGCAATAACGTAATAGTTGACATGAAAAAATAAATATAAACATATGCGAATCAAAATAATAACAAGCGCTTACCCTTCACACGACACAAACTAGGTCATTTCGGGACTGACCTGGTGGTTCAATTTTATTTCAATAATTCGCTGGCGCGTAGGGGTCTTTAGCAGTGGGAGGAACCGGAGCACTCGGAGAAAATCCACGATTTTGGACAAAATAAATATAAATATTTTATGCAATTTTTTAAATTGAATAAGATACATGAAAAAAACCAAACAAACCTTTCCTAGTCGTGTTATTCCCAGGAGATAATCAAACTTGTCACCAGAACTTCTGCATATTTCACAAATATATGTTTCTGGGCTGGCAGAAAGGGCTTTTACTTCTACATCAGTAATGCCTTCACAATCTATGTGGTACCATTTCAAACACGTGTCACAAAATATAATTCCATTTTTACACTTCACAGCGCATTTACCACAATGCCGTTGGACATGTTTTTGTTGTTGACCACGGGCCATAGTGATATCGACTAATATTCGATAAAATTATGACTACGCTTACACAGAGTGTGAGGTTAGACAAGAGTGAAGAAATGTGCTTTTGGAACTTCTATTGGATGCCAGAGATGTGTGAATATACACTGACTTTGAGTTAAATCGTATATCCGGAAACATGCCGATTATAGTGTTGACACTAGATGATTAATACAATCAAAGCTGTATTTAGTAATTAAGCCAACTTTTACAAAATGACAATTAACTGGTGGACGTTATCTATATGTTTAACATTGATAACACTGCATATAGACGGATTGGTAATCATAGCCGGCGTATTTGTAATAAACAACAACAACAATATACATGAAGGGTCTATATACAACAGAAAGAGGCTAAAACCAATATTGACAAAAGAACATCTTCAAGTGTATTATTTGGTAGCAGTTTCATCGAGAGATAATATAAATAAACCAGAACGTGATTACCCAATCAACAATCTTAACCCGTTGATTAATTGTTAAGTCAGGTGGAATGTATATACGAGTAGAGCATTACACATTTACAATAAACATGTGCAATTTCGTTCATTTTAAAATGAAAGTAATTATGCAATGACTTAATAGTTGACATGAAAAAATATAAACATATGCATTTTTTTTTATTAAAGGACGTGATACCTGACGATACCCATGGAGGGGTTGAAATTGTTATTTATAGACCGCTGGCCATCTTATATAATAATACAGTATATAATTATATATAATAGATTAAAATATACACAATATAATACTTGGTTTTCTTATTTTAGTTTCGTCGACTTGGAAACCAACTGCAACGCAAAAGAAGATGATTAATCTGAATAATCTAAAATCTCTTTATCAGTTGTAAAGGGAGATAACTGCGCAAACATTTAATTTTTTTTGCAAATTATAGAATATTCGTTGCAGTAATTATACTAATATGCTGCTATTTGACAATATTAGGTTGTTAATTGATAATATTGGGTAGTATTTGGTAGTATTGGGTTGGTTTTTGCTTGTTTTGGTTGATATAGGGAGGCAAATGGAACAGCCAGAGGTCGGTAATCGCATTTAAAGTACAATTCCCGAGCTATAACTAATTATTTTTGAAAAAATTCAATTGATATGCACAGTTTACATCATTATGTTGTAATATTGGGTAGTATGTGGTGATATTGAGGTTGTATTAGGGTGGTATTGGGTAAATCGTCCCGCCGCTTAGCTTGGGTGGGGACTTACCACCCTCTAAACCCATGATGCAAAGTGTGTTCTCTTCAATTAACTGTAGGGGTAACTGTAGTGTTGTATTATTATCTTGGTGGAGGGGCATTATCTGACGATGGCTGGTGGTTTTAATCTCCACACATGGATACACAGCTTTATTATAATGAATGCCATAAATGTCACCAGCAATCGAACATTATAGACAAAAAGAAAAAATATACAGGGTGCTAGTTTTATACAAAATAATCACCATATTTTCAACAAAGCATGTTTTTCGTTATACTAACTTAAGTTTCTCTCTATTGTCTTTACCATTGTAATAATCTGAATCAACACTATC